CTAACCTAAAAATATTATGATTGTATTTAATTGCATAAGATGTTATTATTATTGTATTAGGTAGTTATAAAAATTGTTAAAAATGCTATATTTATATTATTAAATATCTTAGGTTAGTGGTTTAGTATTTTATGCATAATTGTATTTTTACGTTGTTTAAAAGTCCCATATTTTTTGGCTAAAAATCTTAGATATTATTTATATTACTACAATTTATTTTATTATCAGAAACAACTTATTATATTTGTAATTAATCTATTAAAATTGTTAAAGATGCTATATTAATATTATTAAACTTTATTACTGTTTTATATTTAAGTAGATAAAATTTATTTTTTATGTACCTTTACGAAAAAAACATATATTCTTGTGGTCATACTCCATATTAAAACCATATATCATTGTCCCATTAAAATCGTATATAAATTTTCATTTTATTCTTGTTAAGTTTTAGCATGTCTGAGTTCCCTCCCTTATATAAATTAGTATAGTTGTTTAAAATAATAATGAATTAACTGTATTCTTATTCATTCTATACCATTTAATATTTTTGCTTCCCAAATTGAGTTTATGAAAAGAAACCATTTTATAATATAATTATAAATCGTAACTGTTGTATTTTCTTTAATTTTCAAATAAAATGTTAAGCACGCGACTGGTGTATTATCACCAAGAAACATGATCCCCTATATGCGCGTTCCAGTCCATCAATCAGTTTGATTGGCCAGAAAACTTGTAAAGGACGCGGCTTGTATGCTATCATTTCTCAACGTCATACACTACATGTCGCGTCATTATGCATTACATAGGTAATTTCTTTCACCAAAAAATTATTCGAGTGAAAGGTTATTAAAATTGAACTACTAAGGTCAAAAGGCGTGAAATGAATGAATAAAATGAAATTATGGGAGCGTGCCATTTGAAATGAAAGTTAATGATTTGAACTTTTGACATCAAACTTACGAAATGGAGTAATCACAGAGTTTGTAAATAAAAAAAATAATCAATTTTAAAATTTCAAAGTTAATAATAACAGATATCATCGGAGAAAAATAATTAAAAAAAATTCAGTGGAAAAATAATTTGTAAATTTAGCATCAAATGTATAAAATACAATAATGAAACAGACAGCTATAACTCTTTCGAAGAGACATTATTCGTAAAAGACAAATATTAAATGCTCATTGTAGCAATTGCCATAACGTCAGATCTCTTATATAATCCTAGATTATGAGAAATTATTTGTAACGGACAAATGTTAGTTAATCATGATGGCAATTACCATTATTTTACAAACATCAAATCCCTTATATATTCTTAAACTATCACAAGTGTGAGTTACGAAACAATATAGAATTTTATCAATATATTACAAAATAATAAAAAATTAGTAGTTTTAATTTTTTAATAAAATATAGTTAATTTCATGTTTGACATGATATTGATTTTTAAATGATTTCTTTGAAACTGATATATGTCATGAAATTCGCAAACAGACATTTTTTTTTTTGGTATAATAATACTATTATATTAGATATATTATAGAATAGTTCTATATTTTATGAGTTTAGCCACAACAGGTGTAGCTTTATACTTTAACCAATGAAATTAGAGAATATCAACCTTCAAGTTTCCCCCATATTTTAAAATTTACGCGTGCGTAATTAGTTTTGTTAAAAATCTTTGGTATTATTTAACATTTGGGATAGGTTATTCTACATACCACATTTTCTGTCTATCTTTGCCTACCATCCTCCAATTAGGCTTGGCAAAAATGAGTCAACTCATCGGGTTGCCTCGTAACCCGGCTAAAATGAGCCGGGTTAGGTTAGGAAAAATGAGTTAGTAACTCGAGTCAGCTAAAAAAAAATTGAGCCAACCCACGGGTCAAATGGGTTGGCTCGCGGGTTATAGTTTTTTTTAATATAAAAGTATAAAAATTAATGAACGTAAAGTGAAAAGCTAAAACCTAAAATCACAACTCCAAAGACCCAAACAAAAATACCCTGCAGCTGCTAATAAGTTCAAAATCGTACATTAAGGACCTTTTTTATAGTATGTGTGACAATGTGAATGTGGTGCCAACTGTCGATAAATCCAAGTCCAAATGCAAAATTTTCTATGATTTATCTGTATAATATCTTTGTATTGAATGAATTACTAATTTAGGAAAAAAATTTAGAAGTTATAGCATCAATGGAATTTTTTTTTCCATTTTTTCGAGCCAACCCTAACCCGATTCAGGTCGGGTTGAGTTTTCTGGCTCGTTTATTTTTCGAGTCAACCCTAACCCGACTCGTTTTTTTCAGGTTGAACGCGGGTTACGTCGGGTTGAGCCTGGTTGGCCCGTTTTGCCAACCCTACCTCCAACACCGTTAGATTAAAATCTCAAGAAGAGAGAGAAAAATAAATATCAGTTAAGATTCTGATCTAATGGTGTTTTAAAGTGGTAGACAAAGGTAGATAAAAAAATAGTTGGTAGAATAACCTATTCCGTATTACTTTTCTATATTATTTTACGGGCAGAGATATTTTGATCTAGTATAAGAATAAATTTTGATCTCGGTGTATTTAGTAGTGATAATTAATCAGGGATTAATAATAAATTAATAAGTTTAATTCAATAAATTATAATTATCAGATATACAGAAATCAACGGTTAAGATGGAAAGTAAGATTTAATCAACAGATCTTTCCCCATTATATTATGGCTTTAATATTTCTACAATGAATGTAGATAAGTTATCTACATTCACTTCCAAAACAACGTCGTTTTGGGTTGAAAAATTAAAAAATTATAATGAAAAAGACTATTATAACCCTGAAATAAATTATAATTACAAAAATACCTTAATTTCCACCTCAAAACGACGTTGTTTTGGGCTAAATGTAGATAAGTTACCTACATTGACTATAGAAAAAGTGAACCCTTATATTATTAGTTAAATATGATTAGTACACTTTGAAAATGAGATTTTTCAATTAAGCCGATTATGTGACTAATTCAGAGTGCAGAGCGGGTCAGGAATGAAGATATTTAAACCCCTTTCGAAAGTGACATGTGGAGATCGAACCAAGATTCTTTTTTTTTTTTCACTTACTCAACTCCATTACATCCATCCCAACCTATGTAGCACTGATACCGACACGGGACACGGGACACGACACGACAGGATACTATGACACGTTAATTCTAAAAAATATTAGATTTCGACACGTTAGGACATGTTTTTATATTAAATAATATTTTTAATTTATGTAGTGTATATTATATTTAATATTTAATAATTTAACAAAAAAATGAAGTTAAACTTATAATACCCATTAATTTTGCAAAGAAGCATAAGATATCCCAAATATTTATATTAAACTCAATAAAATCGTAATCGTAATTCAACGAATCTAATAGTTGGATCCAAAAACGCAATACAACCTTTGAACCATTTTTTGAGTTTCTACCGTGTTGGAGTGTCAGAAAGTGTCAGAGTGTCGGGAAGTGTCGGACACGACACGTCAGGATTTTTGAAATGTCAGTGCTTCATAGATCTCAACTACCACTATTTGGTATGACTCTCTTTAAATATTGCATTAGATTATATACTTAAACTATTTTCTACTTTCTTTACAAGGAGATTACTGCATTATTTTTGTTTTAATCCTTACCTTACTGAGTTTCCATATATTTATTGTTTTTAGCTACATTTGGTAGACACCTAAACAGTTGTAGGAATAAATAAAAGTCGTATAACAAATTCTTACTTATACATTCATAAGTGATTATTAAATAAGATAAATTGATAATTAAGACTAATGTATTCAAAGTTAATAAATATTGACCATCAAATTTCAAGAATTTTTTTTTTAAGAATATATAACATTTTGAATAAAACACAGATAAAAATCTTCAACCTTGACCAAGTTAAAAAAAAAAAAAAACACAGAGAAAAACTAGATTTAGAAGTAATTATTAAATAAGATAAAGTGATAATTAACATTAATGTATTCAAAAGTGATTAAATATTTACCATTAAAATAACATTTTTCTATTGTTTCAGCAACAGTAACGCTCAACATTTTGAATTTAAAAGGACTCAACAAGACAAGTTTCCACGCACTATGTTGCTTCTTCTACAAACCCCATTTGCTTCTCTCACTCTTCTCAATGATTCCCATATAGATATCATCAACTACAATCTCTGCTGAATTTCCCAATGACCCAAGTTCACTGCTTTTTCTATCCCAAAGGTCACAATTCAATGTTTCTTTGAGCTCTTCTCTCTGTGATTTGGATCCCACATGTGATTCTATGTGTTTGAGCTTGAATTCTAGTTTTTTTTTTATGACCCTTTGAGATTTTATGCCGTTTCTGTTCTTTATAGGTATCTGTTAGATGACCCTTTTCAGTATAGTAGTGCTTATTTGTCTTTGTTAATAATAATAATTATTTGTTTGAGGTAAAAAAATGCTTGTTGTGTTGCTTCAGTTTGAATTGGGGTCTTTTTTTTTGGCTGTTGGGATCAACTGTGTGTTTAGGGATCAATTCTTGTCTTTATCTATTTTGGTGGCATGTTATTCCATTTCCTATGAAGGGCTATTCTTTTGCTTTACTATTAAGATGGATTTGTGATATTGAAAAAATCACTTCCTGAAATGGAGAGATGGTTGTCCCTTGAAGCTTCGCTTAGAATTGAACTTTTCTTCTTTAATTGGTGGGAATGTAATATTTGTATTTTACTGCATTGACTTTCAGATATATATGCCCTTGCATTGTTTTGATCCCATATAGATGAGCCTTATTTTATAAGCAACTTCAATTTTTATTTCTAATATATATGACCATGCATTGTTTTGATCCCATAGAGATGAGCCTTATTTTATCTGTGGCGCTTTGCTTAAATGAAAAGTTAAATGATACCCTTTTACATCTGATTGAGCTTTGAATAAGGGAAAAGATGTGTTGCCTTTTGCAGGGCTTGTGTACTGAATTGGATTGATGTACAATGCAGAGATCACGTAAAGCTATTCTGGAAAGAAGGGCTATAGAGAAGGCTACAATTGGGAGAAACTATCTGTATAAAGTTTCTTTGTCGTTGGTTTTTGTTTTATGGGGCCTAGTCTTCCTCTTCAGCTTATGGATAAGTCATAGCCATGGTTACGGAGGTATCTTTTGTTTTCTGTTTGCTTTGTTTTTAGCTATTGAGGTATCCTGTTAATGAGATTCCTTTTCTACTTGGCATTATTTTTGCTTATGGATTTCCATTGCATAATGGTTTTGGTAGATGGCTTAATGGCCTTGTTTTGTGATTGAACTGCAAGTTTTGCATCAGTTGGCCTATATGTTCTTTGTTAGAATAGATCTTGTAAGTTGTAGAGAATTTATTTCTTGTCTTTTAACACAGATATTAACTGTTATCCATGTGTTTTTTAAGAGTACAATTGCATCGGAAGCTTTATGCTTCCAATTTATTAGGGGTTTTATGCTGTAAAAAAATTTCAGTAGGGGTTATAGGTTGAGTTAATGATTACTATTTTATGGCTAAGAACTTAAGAGTAATTTCTTCTAGCAGTGTGTTTGATTATCAGAGGGTATTACTTATTACGGGGTCAATGGGCTCAACTTAGATTTGTGGAAGACTAGGATGGGAAAGTTAAAAAATATTGAGGCTGAAAATAAGTTTGAAGAAAATTTGCTGCTTTTTACAGTGATTGATCTTGAAATCATTGATTAAACCAGGAGTGGAGCTAGAAAAAGCAAAAAAGAAAAATGAATGCCGCACTCCATTTGCACTTAACATTTATCATATGTAATTTCGTTAAAAGTAGAGAAGCATAAATACAATGCAATGGAAAAAGTAGCATATCATTTTCCAGTCTCAGCTATCAATTAGGAAATAGCTATTATCACAATAGTGACTAATCTAAAAAATTAAAATTTCTAGAACTTCTACAATCCTTTTTTTTTTTGGTACAAGAACTTCTACAATCCTTTTCTTCCTTTGCTCAGTTGTTTGTGAAACTTCAACTACTTAGATATTGATGGTGTGAAGCCTTTCCATTGATATGTAAGTAGTTGAATAAAATCTGACAATTTCATTATTAGATTTACAATTACTTTCCATGCTTACCAATATAAACAAGCAGAGGTTCAGGTTTGTGTATTACTGCAAAAGTTCTGTTTGCTTGTTCTTATTTAGTCAGCTTATTATCTTTATATGTAGACGGATCTGGAGAAGTTCTGAATGGCGTATCAAATTGGAATGAAGATGAGCACAGACAGTTTGAAAACACTAATTCTGCTGATAAATATTTGACTAAAGAGACTGATGCCTACATACCTTCTGATACTTTCTGCTCTGATGGTGCCAAAACTGATGGTTTTATTGGTGAGTCACTTTCCGGTGGAGAAAGCGTAGCCTATGTTGAACCTGGTGATATAGAAAATTACATTTCTACTGATAGAGAGGAACATGAAGTTGAGAGATCTGAATCTGCTGCGAAACATGAAAATGATGCGCAAAAATATGATCACTTGTCTCAAGCAGTGCCTCTTGGTCTTGATGAATTCAAGAGCAGGGCAACTATTTCTAAAATCAAGTCAGGCATCAGTCCATCTGGAAGTGTAATGCATAGAGTTGAGCCTGGTGGTGCAGAATACAATTATGCTTCAGCATCAAAGGGGGCAAAAGTGTTAGCTTCTAATAAAGAAGCCAAAGGTGCCTCTAATATCTTAAGCAGAAACAAAGACAAATATCTTCGAAATCCGTGTTCTTCAGAAGAGAAATTTGTCATTATAGAACTTTCAGAAGAAACCTTAGTAGATACAATAGAAATAGCTAATTTTGAGCACCATTCTTCCAATTTAAAAGATTTTGAAATGCATGGCAGTTTGGTCTACCCAACAGATGTTTGGGAGTTCCTCGGGAATTTTACTGCCTCAAATGTGAAGCAGGCTCAGAGGTTTATTCTTCAGGAGCCAAAATGGGTGAGATACCTAAAGTTGAATCTTCAAAGCCATTATGGTTCAGAATTTTATTGCACACTGAGCATAGTTGAAGTTTATGGTGTGGATGCCATTGAGAGGATGCTGGAGGATTTGATATATACTCATGATAGTCCATTTGCATCTGGAGAAGGTAATGGTGAAAAGAGGGCAGTGTCTCCCCATCCTAGCTCTGCTGAGGATGATGAGATTCGGAAAAATACTCCCAGAGGGATCAATCTTGATCCTGCTTCAGAAATCTCTTCAGAAAACCAAGTTGGCAGGATGCCTGGGGATACAGTTCTCAAGATTCTGATGCAGAAAGTTCGTTATCTAGACTTAAATTTGTCTGTTTTGGAGCAGTATATGGAAGAATTAAATTCTAGATATGTTATTATTTTCAAAGAGTACAGCAAAGACATAGGAGAAAAAGATATACTTCTACAGAAGATCAAAGGAGACATTAGGAGTTTCCTTGACCAACAAGATGTTATAGTATGTTCAGTTTCTTCCTGGATATTTTTGTAAATATTTGTCTATAGTTATTAATCATCACTATAATTTTACTTTATACTCATTTTTTTTTTTGCAGATGAAAGATGTTAGTGATCTAGATTCTTGGAAATCCCATTTTTCCGTGCAATTGGATCATGTACTCAGGGACAATGCTGTTTTGAGGTGAGAGCTTTTTTTTTATTTTCCACTACGAGGGGCTTGTTAAGATTTAATAACTAGACTAATTTGAGAGCGCTTTAATAGCAAAAATTGTAGAGTAATTTTCATTCAGCTCCCAGTCTTATTTGAAAAATTCTTCTGTAGACTTTGTTTACACAAATATCTTTCTCATTAAAAAGAGAGAGAGTAAACTACCATTTTGGTCCCTGAAAGATTAGGTTGACATCAATATAGTCCCTAAAAGATGCAGAGGGACATGAATTTAGTCCTCTAAAGAATTTGACATCAATTTATTTCCACAATAATAGAAAATGAATTCAATTCAGTCCTTAATATTGAAAGTTAACATAAATTTAGTCTCTTAATAATATGAAATGATATTAATCTAGTTCCTCAATATTTTCATGATTGAGGGACTAAATCAAGAACCAAAGTGATGTCAATCCAACCTTTCAAGGACCAAAATAGATGGTCACTCTTAAATATATTTTGGTACATATTTATGTTCCAGAAAGCTGTTTTTCTTTTAAAAGAATGTAATTTCAGCTTTTTATAGTCTTTTATTTGGGTTCATCTACCACCGACCCCAATTAATTTGGGATAAAGGTGTTGTTGATGTTGATAGTCTATACAAGTTGTGTAAACAAAGTCTATAGAAGAATTTCTCAATAAATTGAAGAAGGCAGTGATCAAACTAGCATTGGTTGGGCACAATGCAGCAGATGTCACTGAACCAGTGCTTTCATTGGTTGAGGACAATGCGTAGAGCAAATAAATTTACAAACAAACTGACACATATTAATGTCTCTATGATTTTTGAAACATAAGGCAAAAATTAATAGAAGTTCTAAAATAATTTTAGTTAAAATGCAGTTTTGTGATAGAAGACATGAAAAATAAAAGTTTTGAATGCTTATATAAATTTGCTACATTGTACAAAATAAAATTTAGAATGATATTTGCCATTTTTAGCAAATTATTGAATTTATGAAACTTCTATTTGTTCTTACTTCTTTCAACTTTCATATATATATATATATATATATATATATATATATAAATGTTAAAATAATTTTTTATTATTAGTAGACATATGCATAATTTTTTATTATTAGTGGGGGTGAGGGCATGTGTTCGAATCTCCCCAGTACCACCTTTGGGAGGGGTTTAAAGCCTTAATCCTGGACCCGCCCCGAATCGGACTAATCGCGAAGCGATGAACCGATGGAATATTTCCAAAAAAATACTATATCTAATTTTTGTTCATATCTGCTTTCTATTCTTTTCTTCCTACCATCTTGTCTCATTTTATTGGGTAAAGAATCAATTTAGCCAATAAAATAAAAACAATGGGAGATCATTTCTCTGGCAGGGTTATGTGATAGACAGGGTTACTTGATTTCTCCTCTTCCTAGACGTAGTTCCTGTGTTAAAGAGGAAGAACATGATGTTCAATTATCATGAGAAGTGCTTTTTAACCAGTAAATAAGAAATGAAAGCCCGTTCATAAACACTTTAGTGCCAAATTATGTGTGAAATATTAGAAACAAACCTCTTTAATACTCTAGCAAGAATCTGGTATTTGTCCCGGCCGTGCTCGAACTGGATTAATTGGATAATCGATAAATCAAATCATTGGATATTTCCAAAAAAAGTGAGGAGTAAGACTCTATCCACCCTTAAATCTTAGTAGTTTAGATTATGATATACTTTTAATTAAATCAAGGGTAAACACAGCCTCATTTACTCATTTTAGAGACAAGCTCACTTTAGAGGAGTCTTGTCCTAAGAATTCTTGGTAAATATGTTTTCATTACAAAAACAATCAACCAAACAAGTATTCAATTAATTTGATATATAGTTAACCCATTAATCACACTATGAACATTGTGATCAACTTGTTTGGTTAATTATTCCTAAATTAATCATTCCTGAATTTTAATTCTCCTTTGATTTATCATTGTTTGTCAAGAAATTTGAAGATTATTCTGTTTTTGTTGGCCATTGATGCTATTAATTTATAGTGTGTGTTTTTTTAAATAAATATTTTTTTTTGTCTTGGCATCTGAATATTTTTGTTCTTTAATAATGCAGATCTGAGGTTGAACAGGTCCGGGAAAATCAAGTATCTTTGGAAAATAAAGGTGTAGTTGTGTTTTTGGTGTGTGTTATTTTTTCATTGCTTGCTATATTACGACTATTTCTGGATATGGTTATGAGCATCTATGGAGTACTAAGTTTTGATAGAACAATTAACTCCAGCAAATTTTGCCAAGGTACCTCTTCCTGGTATCTCCTATTATTGAGTTGTAGCATTATTATTTTCATATTAACTTTGTGATAAACTATTTTTAAACCAAGGTTTTATTATCTTCTGCAAGATTCTTGGTAATTGTGTTTTCATTCTATAGATCCCAAAACTTTTTTCAAGGTACAATGTTAGACTTTTCACTTAGCGTGAGGAAGTTTTGTTACTCACACAACCACCAAAATAAATATAATAAAATGATCCACAGCAATTCTGTTAAGAATGAGAATCGGCGAGTCCAAAATCCTTTGCAAAGGATATATCCACCAATGGGTTAGTCAAGTGACAAATCACAATAAATGAACTAATACTAGATTTCAACCTAAAATCTTAAAGCAATAGATGTATGGATCTTTCACATTTATATAATATTTACTTGATTCATTTCTAACTGACGTGGTACTTCGTCACTATTCATATTGGAATATATCTAACAAATTCAAATAAACGCCCAGAGAAAGTGGTGACTTCAGTAATCAAATTGCACTTATGACTACAGTTTTGAAAACATGCTCAATTGAACTGGTTGAAGTAATAACATGCTTGATTGAACTGGTTTAAGTAGAGTAATCCGATACTCTGATTAGTTAAATTTGGCTAAAATCAGTGAACATTTCAGCTTATAAATCGGCCAGTTTTGTAAATTAAAAAAAAAAAAAAAATCTTTGCAAAAATAGACGGGGAAAGTTTACTTTAACAATTACTGTAGTTTTCGTTTCAGTCTTTCTCACTTTGATCAAGCCAATATATATATATATATATATATATATATATATATATATATATATATATATATATATATATTTCTACAGCCACTTTAGATAAGGTTATCTACAGCTACTTCAAAAACTACGTCGTTTTGATTAACGAAGGATGTTTATATAATTTTAGGTGAATTAATGAAGGATATTTCTGTAATTTTACTTATTCTTTTATTATATACATTTTACTTAAACACCCTTCATTAATTCACCTAAAATTACATAAACACCCTTAATTATTGGATAGCTGTAGATAACCTTATCTAAAGTGGTTGTAGAAATATTTTTTTAATATATATGGGTTATGTTTATCTCATTTTACATAAGATAAACAACTTTCTTACACACACAAAAAGGGGTTGAGTCTCACCACTCTTTTTTCTCTCTCATCTTACATGTGGGTTCCACTTATACTTTTATTTCTACAACATGAGGTAATTTTTTTCCTACAACATAAGAAATATATATATATATATATATATATATATATATATGTATATAAATATAGGGAAAAGATATTGTAACAACCAATTAATTTTATTACCAATAAATTTCACTGTTAGATCGATTATGTTGATCCAACGGTTATATTTATTTCCATCTTTGTATGGTTATGATTTCTCATATTTAATGCTTTCACATTAAATATGGAAAATCATAACCATACAAAGATGGAAATAAATATAACCATTGGATCAATATAATCGATCTATCGGTGAAATTGATTGGTAGTAACATTAGTTGGTTGTTACAATATCCTATCCCTTATATATATATATATATATATATATATATATATATATATATATATATATATATATATATATATATAGGGAAAAACATTTCTCGAGCTGCTTGAGATAAGTTTATCTCTGGTCACTCCAAAACTACGTCGTTTTGATTATTTATTTTCCGATATTTATTAATTCACAATTGAATGGTTATGATTCCCCTTTTCTCTCTCTTCCTTTATCACCATTGATCCATCTTTGTACGGTTATGATTTAGTAGCCGGAGATAACATTGTCTCAAGCAGCTTGAGAAATGATAAACCCATAATGAATGGTTATCATTTCTCAAGCTGCTTGAGACAATGTTATCTCTGGCTACTAAATCATAACCGTACAAAGATGGATCAATAGTGATAAAGGAAGAGAGAGAAAAGGGGAATTATAACCATTCAAAGGTGAATCAATTAATATACGAAAATAAATAATCAAAACGACGTAGTTTTGGAGTGAGCAGAGATAAACTTATCTCAAGCAGCTTGAGAAATGTTTTTCTCATATATATATATATATATATATATATATATATGAGAAAAAATATTTCTCCGGCAACTCCAAAACTACGTCGTTTTATTTATTTATTTTCTTATATTAATTGATTCACCTTTGAATGATTATGATTCTTTTTTTCTCTCTCTTCCTTTATCACTGTTGATCCATCCTTGTACGGTTATGATTTAGTAGCCGGAGATAAAATTATCTCAAGCAGCTTGAGAAACGATAAACCCTATATATATATGGGACAGGATCCATTGACACTGGTGTCAAACTAAAAAATTTGACACTTGATCAGAACCAGTTTTACAATTGGGCTGACCATGTGATCTTCCTCTACACAATAGGCATGGAACCGCCTTGAATCGGAGCAGCTTGCAATTGGAATAGCTTTAACCCATGGGTCTTCAATGGAACAAAGTGGGGGGTGTACCTGCAAGATACTCCGACACTCAAGTCAGATTTGGTTCAAACAGTTTTTATTGTGTAAAAGAATATATGTACCTTGGGTTAACACATGTATTTATAGTAGAGAGATGACCAGCTTGGGAGATCTCTTTCTTCATGGTGAATGTATATATCTCTTTTCATTGGTTCTTGTGGGTGGCTCAGAGATAACGTTTGCAAAGATGTCTTGGTGTTGAAGTATACTTGGAGATGAAGTATTCAGAAGTAGCTTGTTGAGATGTGGTATTTAATATTGAGGAGTTTGCTGAGATAAGCTTCGGAGATGGAGAAGAGATAGCAACCTTTGTTGACCAAAGCTTTGTTTAATGGTGAAGACTTTGAATGTGGGCCTTTTTTATATGTGAGCCTCATATTAATATCCACATCAACACTAAATCTTAACCGTTGATTTCATGAATCTTAACCGTTAATTTCATGAATCTAACGATTATAATTTATTGGGTCACACTTGTTAATTAATTATTAAGTGTCAATAAATTATAACTATTAGATTGGCGAAAATCAATAGTTAAAATTTGGTGTCAAAGGATCCTTACCCTGTATATATATATATATATATATATATATATATATATATATATATATATATATATATATATATATATATAAGTTTTAATATTTTTACAGTGAATGTAGATAAGTTATCTACATTCACTCCCAAAACGATGTCGTTTTAGGTTGAAAAATTAAAAAACTATAATGAGAAATACTATTATAATCTTAAAATAAATTATAATTACAAAAATACCTTGATTTGATATCATTTTGGGCTCAATGTAGATAAGTTATCTACATTGACTGCAGAAAAAGCGAACCTATATATATATAAGGGCAGGATAAACTCAAACTGATGTAAGAATAAGAAGTCTTACACTTAATCTTAATAACTGATTTGTTTGCATCTAACGATTCACATATCTAATAAATCAGAGTCGTTAGATATAAATATGATCAACAAATAAAACTAAAAGTGTAGCTTACCCTGGTATAAAATGATCTTGACCCATGTATATATATAAATAAAGTAAATATTTAACAAAAATACGCAGAATTAAGCATTTTATCATTATGTCACTCCAAAATAACCATTCAATCTTTAATCAATAAACGGATAGATCTCTTAAATTAGAGATCTATCATATTGCTTTATTGTGAATTTTAGAACTAACTGAAAATAAAGCAACATACATCTCTTGAATGTAAATCAAATGGTTGTAAAGTTGAATACCAAAAAAATAAAAATAAATGGTTGTAAAGTTAAACGTGAGTGGCAAATATGTCTTTAGGGGTTTAAAAGTGTTGGAGACAAAAAGTGGAATCAGAAAGAGTTGGATGGCTTGTTAGTTACAATGCGAAAGTCCTAAACATTTGGATTATTCTTTGAAATATTCTTTCCCACTCTTCAGCACCATATATACCTATAACTTATGATTCCCACTTAAAACCTTTCTCCCATCTTTTGATGTAACCTCCCCTCTATTTCATGTCCATACGATACATATGTTTCCACAACCTTTAGTTTAGTTTTGTTTGTTTCTATTTTCATTCATGTACAGTTGGTCCATTTTGATACTTTATCCTCTCAATTTCCATCTTTTTCCTTAGATTCTTATTAGCCTGTGAAAGTCACGATTGTTGATATTCTGTGATGTCATCAACATTAATTTAAGTTATCATCAGATGCTTCAAGATAATGCTTTGTTAATTTACGGAGTCTTCTATTGCAAATCTAATGCTTGGACAGATCATTGAAAAAACAAAAACAAAAAGATAGGCCCTAGTTCGAGAAGCATGCAAGTCAATTTGATTTAAGACTTAAAAGTATCTTCCCGGTCGTTCGAGCTTTTCCTGAGAGTATGGCATGGGTTACTTCAGCGCCGTAGCGCCTGGTACTCGAACATTGGCTCGAGGCATTTTCTCTACCCTTTCTTACCCTGAAAAAGCATGTAAGAACAAGGTTCAAGTCTACCGGTCTGTTAGGATGCCTCAGCTGCATACATCATTGTACTTCCACTTGACACCTATCGTTAATGAGAAACAGCTCGTCTCGGCATGACCTTCTCTTGAATTCTCAAAACTTCTTTCGCTCCATCTGCCATGGGCAGAGAACCCATCGCTGTCTCGGCTGTGCTACCAGAGGCGAGGGAGATTCTCGAACGAGGAAAAGGATCCAATGACTTCGAAAGAATTCAACGAGGAGCCGTATGAAATGAAAATCTCATGTACGGTTCTGTAGAGTGGCAGTAAAGGTGACTTATTTGTCAACTTTTCCACTATCACCCCCAAAAAACCAAACTCTGCCTTACGTAAAGTTGCCAGAGTACGCTTTATGACTCATAATTCGCATGTTGATGATGGTCCTTGTTGTTGGGGTCACCAAAAAGGCAACTGGGGTCCCGCTCCCAGGTAAGCGGGCAGGGGTTGCTTCCCCCAGGCCCGTAGAGGCTAGGTACTGTTGTGGGCCTCTGATTTATTGTAATTTTTTCTTTTTTTAGTAGTTTGGGCTTGGGCCCATGAATAG